GTACTAGCCGGTGATAGACCGTGATGCATTTATGTGCATTCGAAAGCTTAAAACAAAAACAAGTTTGCGATAGACTGTTTAATTAGTGATTTTAGTCATTCAAAACACAATTCAAATCTATAGATTTCATTCCTGCGGCACGTTATATGTATCTACTGCGTCGTAGTATATATATCGTGTTCAGCTGAAGGATCTTTTGGGTGAAACAAGCATTTTTTGATCTCTTGTGGAATATTCTTGCTATAAAATCTAACTGTGGAACTTAATCAGTTTGCATGATATGTGCTTCACTAAACGTAAAACGCTTGTAGCGTATTTTTCTATAGTCATCCTAAATCGCTACGTCATTTATGCATCTTTCCTATTGATTTTGAATTGTTCCAGTGGAACAAGTATGCGTCTATTATTATAGTGGACAAATCTGGGATAGCACACACGGAATTCATTGTACATATACTTGTTTTTCTTGTCATGAAAATTTGTGCCATTGAATTCAAATTAAAATAGGCGTTACAAAATAGTTTGTTTTGCTTTGAGCATGTAGTGATTGTTTGAGATTAATCAGTGTGCAGAGAGAAACTGTACTTTTCTGTTTATTTTTATTAAACCACTAAATGTTTTGACAAAACCTTGGTTAATGGTAGCTTTCAATATTAATCTGTGTGTATTTTGAATGAATTTAAAATAAACGGTGTCATAATGAGTAAAATAAGTGGAAACGACAGTTTGTCCTAAATTAATGTACGATACCGCCTTATGTATTCTTGTTCAACTGTAAGAAAAACATCATCAAACTGCTTGGCTCCCAATGACAGTTCGTGACAGCTTGAAGGAGCCATCTTTTGATATTCATATTTTTCGAGTCTGCTTCTCCCTCCCAGGTACAAATAGACTTAACTTTTTTTTCTCGATTGTTTGTGTTTTGTAACATGGAACAGTTAAAAAATCAAAGTTATTCATCGGCAGAAAAGCCGTTTATGAATTTTTCAAAACGTGTCACATCTGCCTGTTGTCTATGTCTACACTAGACTAAACCTGGGTCCTGTGGTCTTACGCAATGTGCTTGTCACTTGGGAGCCATTATGAACTGTCAACCGGGAACCAAACATTCAGAAGCAACACATGGAATTACTGTTCTTATCTATCGTCAAGCATTTTAATATCATAAAAATGATCCATACTTTTTCATAACACATTGTTAATTTTAAGCTTGAAGGCAAACACCAACGCTCAGTGATGAAGTATTAAAAACCAGCATAGTTTTTATGACTCAGCTATGTTCTCAATTGCTGTATTTATTTATAACTAGCTGAGTGTGCCCGGTCTTGCTCGGGATTCAATATTAGCTTGAGTTTATGCGCCGATTTAAAAAAATCATGCTATATTGTACGTAGCCCCCCCCCCTCCTATTATCTAAGGGGCTACCCCCTATGATTATCTCCTTATACCCCCACACTCGCCCCCACATGCCTAATTTGGTTCCATTTGCTTGATTAGTTCTCGAGTTATGCAGAAATTTTTGTTTCATTTGTATGGGAGCCCCCCCTTACAAAAGGGGGAGGGGTCTCGAACCATCATAAGAACCTTCCATGGCCCCAAAAACCCCTGTATACAAATTTTCACGCCAATCGGTTCAGTAGTTTCCGAGTCTATAAGGGTCAGACAGACAGACAGAAATTCATTTTTATATATATAGATAGATAGATTACAGTTCATCTGATGTAATAGTCTCAATGACTATGACTTAAATCTAAATGTAGTCACTCATTAAAAATTGGCCGATAGCAAACGATGACGAAATCTGGAGGCATTGATGTTAAAGTCAAATAGGTCAGAGCGGCGCCGGTGGTGTAGTGGTAAGCGTGTTTACCTCTCACCCCAGCAGGCATGGGTTCAATCCCAGTCGGCGCCGCCGGGATGTTCTGTGAGGCATAACATCTCTGAACAAGCCTTCCTTCGGAAGGGAAGTAAGGCCGTTGGTTCCCGGTTCATAAATTGATGGGTCGATAGGTAGGGTCCAGGTGTGGGAGTTGCCTCCCTGGCGTCGGTAGCATTGGTGCTCAGCACGGAAAAAACAAGATCAACGGAAAACAAATCAAGGAAAAAACATAAGACAAATAGGTCAGATACTTCGTTTAATTGATGAATCATGGCGACAAAGGAACTGTTTACAGTATAGTTTACCATCAAATGTGATAAACTAGCCTACGGCTAAAAATCGCAAAAATAAAGAAAAAAAATAAATACAGCATAGTTGGTTGCATGTACTTCTTCATGTAGCAAGGCTGTCGGACGAAGTGTTCGGGCAGGAGCATACAGATTAATTGTGGACAGTAACTCAGGAACATCATATTCTGCGAGCAAGACTTTAGAAACGAGGACGGCCTGCGTTTCGTCGCTCAGCAAGAGTACGGTGATAAATTCAGCGAGTCACTCCAAGGAAGATAGCGCAGTGCGTATCTGACGAATTTCAGTAAAACATACTTTGGCGATACATGTATGAAAACAAACTTTGATAGAGTCTTTAGGGGCTCGAGAACTCCTGACTCAGAGCTTTTGGCGAGAATCAACTGAAAAAGAACGAAATAGTTTTGAACTTGAAAAAAAAATCAAGCAGTTTTCTAATGGTTTGTAAAATAAAATCGATCGACTTCACAATACCCAGGACTAGACTAGACTTCACGTCAAATCTACCTGATGAAAATGCTACGGCCTCCTTGCTCCCCAATGAACTTTCGATCCCTATTGAGGTCCTCAACAACTGTGCCAAATTTGAAGAATTTGGTTTCGTTCTGGATTAGCAGAAGAATTTTAAAGTTTGTATGGGACACTGGAACGCACCCTAACGATTGTGCGTTCTATGTATTCCATATAGTGAATTTTATTATAGGTTGTACCCCTAACGCCGCGGATACACGTATATGCCAAATTCTAGCTCAGATTAATGGTCGCAGTGACGAAAACACCCGACAAGGATTAAAAAAAAAAATGCCAAGCTATGAACATGACCATTATTTGTATAATAAATTGTCAGCACATCCATGGTCACACTTGTATAGCTTTTGTATAGTTGTTATATAGTGCTCATATCATTCAATATCATTATCATCCAAGTGTATCCGCTGCATAACTGCATAACTGTCTTCCATACGTTTAGACTGGACTGAACAAATCGAAGTAACCTGGATTATATAAATTATTAATTCTTTGTTCAACCGTATATGCAATCAATCCAAGAGTTGGAACCGGTGGAGAACATTGTTGGAGACCGACTATAGAGGATGATGAATATGACGTATGTAGTTTGTTTTGTGTGAGTTGCAGCATTATTTGAATTAAGGGTACTAATTGGGTCTGCTTAACTGCCTCTTTATCTTGAGCCCACTCTAGAACCAACATTTTCGATTTGTAGGAACTGCTGGTCGGAGTTCCTCTGGAATATTCAATTGAAGGATATTCCTGAATATACAGAACGTAATGTTGTGAACAACTTCAATGACAGTTGTCCAACAGTGCCATTTTATCCAATGCCTACGAGATTGTGCCGAAGTGTGTCGATTGATGTACCCAAGCTGTGCCGATTCTAATTTCGGCACAATGTGCTGAGTGACTTACCCCTTGGAATTAGTAATATAATAGCTTAGGTGAAAGGATTTTAGGTCATTTTATTGCTATGTATGCTAGCGGCGCCGGTGGTGTAGTGGTAAGCGTGATTACCTCTCACCCCAGCAGGCCTGGGTTCAATCCCAGTCGGCGCCGCCGGGATGTTCTGAGGCATAACATCTCTGATCACGCCTTCGGAAGGGAAGTAAAGCCGTTGGTCCCCGGTTCATGAGTTGATGGGTCGATAGGTAGGTCCAGGTGTTGGAGCTGCCTCCCTGGCGTCAGTAACATTGGTGCTCAGCACGGAAAACAAATCAAGGAAAAACAAAATGTAGGGTATTGAAATTAACTATTTTTTATATTAATTTATTTGATAAGGCTCAACCGAATTGACTTTACAGAGCCGAGGATTCTTGTTCACTATACAATACATCTTAAAAGTATAGTCAAAAGGTACAACACAATAAACATTTTATCTTCCGCTATCCATAAGTCTCCTCCACCGGAACGGGAGCCGCTTCCAGTGGTTTCATTGTATGGCAGATTCGCCAACGGGGGTCGGAGCGCTTCCATTGCAGCAATGGACTGCTGATGAAGAATAATGAGGAGGACCACACAATGGTTGTTGCCGAGTAAAGAGACGATCGCGTGACACACATCGAGAGTGGCCTGCTTCTGCCGATAGCCGAGTGAACACTGAAATTAACAAATTATAAACATTGGATTTGTTGAAAGATCATTTGTCATTAGTTAAAAATTACTATTTTTCAACGAATTTTCATCTTTACCGCTATGCACAAAATTAAATTGTCGGATTATCCTGAAATTTTGCATTTAGGGCTAAAATCTACCTGAGAATCTGAAAAAAATATTATAAAAATAATAATTCATGAAAAAAAGTTTCAATAACGACTGACTTCGCCCCACTGTGCATCGATGACGAATGTGTCGCGTGGCATGATGCACCAGTTGAATTTCCTAATGCTTGAGAGATTTTAGCGCCAAATCCAAAATGGAACTTTACTAGCCGAGTAATTAATGGAAGAGAAAGTCGATGAAGAGAATCGATCAATGTACTTGATATATCATAATACTAAGTTTGGTTGAAATCGATGACATCGACTTTAGGAGGTATTTTTGCTAAAGCTCAGGTAATCATGGTAATATGTATCTTATTTTTATTCATGTTGTTTTCAAATATTATACGTTAGGTATACCTGTATAAACGAATTCGGAGTATACAGAGATGAACTAGCCTACGGCTAAAAATCCCCTAAATAAAGGAAGAAAAAAAAAAGAATTAGGAGTAATGGTATTCAGGGTAGTGTTATAGGATAGTTTATGAAAGGACTTTACCAATTCGTACACTATTTTAAATAGTTAAATTTTTATTTTAGGTAACCATCACGTGTTTGGTTGACGGAGAAGACTACAATATTTTAAGGGATGCTAAAATTATACAAGCTGGCCTTAAATTAAGCCAAGATTTGGGAATTAAAAAGGATGATTTCGTGTTAATTGCTGCTTTCTCGCCATCGAAGGAAATCACCAACGAATCTCAGAACAATTCCGCGATGTGTGTATATAGCTTAACAGAGATTGAGGAAGTATTCAACGAAAACATTCACTGTACGTGATGTTATACTTGTATTTTTTTTTTCATGAATGGAATTTAATGTTGTGTGTTTTTTTTTCAGCTTGTTTCAACGGCAGTATTAAAGATAGAAATTTAGGATACATTTCTGGAACGATAAATGATGGAAAGTGTCCAGTAGTTGGGTCCATTGGTAACATTTACAGCTTCTGTCATGTGGGGTTGAAGATCAGTGGTGTAACGCCGATCGTCGCCAGAGCTCTCTTCAATTTTCCCAACGAGTCAATAACTTCCGTTACAACTACTAATACAGGACCACACACACTAGCTTTCTTGGGTACTTCAGAGGGATGGATCAAAAAGGTGTGTTATAATGTTGACTTTTAATTGATAACCCAATACATTTTACTTGTTCTAAAGATATTGATGTCAGGATCTGCTGCTGGAGAATATGAAAGTATCGAGGTAGACAGCGGTTTCAAGATACTACCAGATACCATGATTTCGCCAAGAAATGAATTTCTATACATTTTATCAGAGAAAAAAGTAAGTTTAAACCATTCTTAGTATGATGCTCGACGGTATTCTAATTTATTGTTTATTGTTACACAGGTGATTAAAATGAAAGTCGAACATTGTAGCACGTTCACGAATTGTTCAAGCTGTCTAGAATCAAGAGATCCGTTTTGCGGTTGGTGTTCCCTGGAAAAGCGATGCACTGTCCGAAACACTTGTCAAAAAGATACCAGTACCGCCAGATGGCTTTCCATCAGTACTGGGCAACAGTGTATCGATTTTGAAATGGTATCTCCAGACAAAATTCCTATCAATCAAATGGCAACTGTGCATCTCATTATTCGTACATTGCCTGAGCTGCCGTACAATGCAAAGTATAAATGTGTATTTGGAAATTCAACACCAATTGATGCGAATGTTACAAACGAAGGTCTGGTATGCAGAACTCCTCCAGTAGATAAGCGTCCGCAGTTGGCTGCAAACACAGACCACATTCTAGTTCCACTGAGTGTTAGAAGCTCCGAAACAAATAAGGACTTTGTGTCTCGTAACTTCGCATTTTACGACTGCTCCCGTCACGATACTTGTCGGAAATGTCTGCGCAGTCAATGGGGTTGCAATTGGTGCATTTATGATAACAAATGCGTGTATAATACTTCAACTTGTCGTAACTCTGGGAACATTGTAACGAGCGAGAATTCCTGCCCGCATTTCAAACGAAGATATGAACCGATTTTACTGCCGAACAAAGTTCCCAAAGAGATTAAGCTGGAAATTGAAAATCTACCAAGGCCTCAGAGTGCGCATACTGGTTTTCTTTGCACTGTTAATATTGAAGGAGCCCATATGGTACTGCCAGCACGTGTTGAATCCAACAAATACGTTGTATGTGAAAAAACACCGGTAAGTAGTCACGTAATCAAGTTTTTTTTTTAAGATGTGAGGAACATGAGCGTGTTTGGGGCTAGACGAAATTCCCCAATTATTTTTTTTCCGTATCTATTATCGTAAAAAAATAGTTGAAGAAATTCTTCAAGCCCAAACACCGTACACTAAAATCGGTTTTACATGGGTTTTTCTACGCGAATTACGAGATTTACCGAGAGATTTACTCGTTTTTTAACGTGGCATGTATCCCGCACGTAAAACATAACATGATGATGGCAGCACTGCACCATTCTGGAGTGCTTTTTGAATGGGTCGTATGTAACAAACGTAAATCTCTTCCAAAAGGGAAAATTTGGGCCCGCAACCCCATTTCTGTTTCATTTTCTCATAAAAAAATATTTGTCGTGTTTGCCAACTGATCAAAACATAGTTTAATGATACATACGACACCTAACTTCTAGGGGGGTGTTAATCGTCCTATGTAACAAATTTGACAGAAGCGTTAAAACTGTTCGTACACCCTGTTGTTTTCTTTCTAATAAAAGTGCAAATATTGCCAATCTTCAATGTAAAATGGTTGTGGGTGGTCTATAAAATGATCACGACGCTTCCCGTAAGATATTACTCATTATAATACATTTTAAACACTAAAATGCGCACGGTTGAATGTAACACCACGGCATGCAAAGGTCGTATAATATTGATTGGTTTAAAACCGTTTGCGTATTAGGTTTTGCACCGTCGGGGTTAACCTCAATCTGATGACAGTTCAGTGGTACTGTTTACGTGGACTTAGTCGATTTTTTCTTGGGTAGATTTTCTCGATAATTTTTCAGACTGCAGTGATATGTAAACCACACTTCTGCATTGTCCACGAGCAACATCCTTACACCGCGCTGTTCCTCGACAATTTTCAAGTTAAAATTCGGAAATTTTAGAATATTTTTTTTTTCGAAAAAACGACTAAGTGCTTGTAAACAGTACCACTGAACTGTCAAAAACGTTCAACCGATTAACACTGAGTTCAGAAGTATGGTTTACATCTCGCTGCAGTCTGAAAAATTAACGAGAAACCCAAGAAAAAATCGACTAAGTCCACGTAAACAGTACCACTGAACTGTCATCAGATTGAGGTTAACCCCGACGGTGCAAAACCTAATTGGTTTGAATTGTGACACACTTGGAGTCTGTGTGCCCCACATGGTGATGTAAATATCTTTGCACATTGTTCACGCACATAAAAGCGATGGTAATCGCCGGTGTCTCACGCACGTTCCTACACGCAGTGATATCGTCACTATGAAAAAGCACATATAATCGCGGTTAGAGATTACACTTTTATTTCACAATGATACAACGTTTATTTGCCGTCGGCCGATCGCGGGGATGGTTTATTTACAACTGACTACTCTGACTGATCATCTGTTCTTCTTGCATGTAAAAGGACCGATACACGACCACCGTTCGACCGTACGCTAAAGCCTTTCCTATTCACTATACACAACTGGTTGTATAGTGCTCAGCGTTGCCAGGTCATTTTCAGAAAAATCTGGACCAGGTAAAATATAAAATCTGGGAAAATCTGGAATGCTCCAAAAAATCCTCTTTTTAACATAATGCTATTGAAATCAAAGTGATGTGTCAATCTCCCGTAAAAATAGGTCAGTATGATCATCTGGAATTTATTTAAAGTACTAGAATGGTTACAAATTACATGTTTAAATAAATTTTATAGGGCAAATAACTTGTTAGCATTGCTAAAATCATCCAAAAGTTGAAAAGTATTGACACGCTGTGCCCAAAAAGTTCAAATATCTATTACGCAGCATTTCAAAAATTGAGTTAAAGGTGGGTAAAAAAAGGAGACAATATGGTTTGAATTGTTTTTTAAACTGTAACTTTTTTTAAAAAGAATGAGAAGCAGAGAATCAAGGAAATTTGATGGGATGGATTTTTTGAAATAATAGTCGATGTACTCCTTACTATTTAAGTACCAGAATATAAAAATTTTATTAGTTCTAAATAATTCTAATATTACTCTAAGGTTGATCAGATTTACAGTTTAATTCTTGACATCATACAATCAAAATTCACCGGGCTGAAGTGGGAATAAAAGCCTATCATCGTGGAACTCACACACAGTTTACCTAAACTACGGGTAACTCCACTATTCCCATGACCATTATACCAAAGAATAATTTTATTATATTACTAAAATGAACGTCTGATAGTTTCATTTTTGAAGTCTCAGGATCTTGCAATGATTCTAAACTCCGGAATTAATATTTTCCTGCGTCCCAGATCATTGGTTAGTTAGTTAGTTAGTTAGTCAGTTAGTCTGAATTTACTTGGAACTCTTCACAGGATATCTTCGCCTTTTTTTAAGTCAATTTGAATCATCCTAGAATTCCATCATGTTCCTTTTCTATATTCCCCTAAAATAATCTTGAAAATATCAAAACTTTTCCAGTTACATTCTAAGAGTTCTTAGCATTACCTCTTGAAATCTCTCATAAATCACTCTCCATTTCCACAACTAGTGATTGGAGAGTTATAATTCCCAAGAATTGACTCAATTTTGTGTCCATTGAGAAATGAAATTCTTAAAATATTTTTAACAATTTCCTCCAATTTACAATCTCCTCCACTCTTCAGAATGACCGTCACACTCTTCTCAGACTTATCCGGTTAGAATTGGTTTGAAATCCTTTTCAGTATTACCTAAGTACTCAAGTACTTTGCCAAAATGGTTTTGAAAGTCTCTCAGAAATTGTGCTTTAAATATTAATAAAATTAATCTCCATAGAAACATTGGACAGAACTCCATTGAAATTATTCTCACGATTCGGATCAGCATACTCCTTAAATTTCATCATAAGAATTTTCTATGATTTCTCTTCCGGATTGTATTTTCTTTATTTTTTTTTTTTTTGTAAAATTGTATCGTTTATTCCAATGTTCTTAAAAGATTATTTACAAAATAATTTAGTTTTCACATATTAAGTAGAATTCAAGTGCACTAACATCGATTCTAACGTTAACTTTATTAACATAGGTGATGTATAATATAAGCATCTTCAATATTTGACTTCGTTTTGTTAGTCCTATGTTTAATAGTGCTGGGCGCAGCAGTTCTTCGAAAGACAGTCGTTGCCAGCCTCCAAGTATCATCGTCATCTTCTGTTGTACAAAAGCCCATGCGTGTGCTACTCGAGGGCAAACACTGAATTTGTGTTGCAGCTCTTCAACCACAGCATTGCAATGCAAACAATTCTCATCGTCCGCACGTTGGATGGTTCTCATTAATTTTCGGTGCTCCGTCTTCTCATTTATGAGCAAGTATAAGCTGCTTCGATGGCTCGATGACAGCTGTTTCGTTGCGATGTTTAACCATATACGCTTCCAGTTCGTGCCAGGATTTTTCCTTTCGACCCGTGGTGTTTCCGTCCGCTCCAAAAACAGGCGATGTATTTGTTCACTAGAGGGCTGCTCTCGAACAAATGGTGGGAGAAGGGGAATTTGCTGGGAAATTAACTTGAGGCAGGGAAGGTCTGCGGGGGGAGAAATTCCTTGGTTGAGAAGGGATTGATAGAACGGAAGGGAATCCCGTGCCTGTATGTGACGATTCACTAGCAGCGCTTTGCACTTCAATGCCGGTAGCTGCAGCTTCATTCCGCCAGATGCTCTGTCACGCGCCATTTGTTCCATTGGAACCCGCGCTGGTAGTCCGCGCCACAAAAATGAGCCCATAGTTGCCGTTATTTTCGCCGTGTGGACACAATACGGTGGGACGATGGATGCCACATACCAGATCTTTGCCGTTATGAAGGTGTTCAATAGTGTCACTTTTTGTTGAAGATTGAGATTCCTCAGCGAGTGCAACCACAACTGCTGTGCGAATTTGGATACAAGCACATCGCAATTAATTTTAATCATTGCGCGAATTGAATTGGTAAAAAAACACGCCCAGGATCTTTACCTTTTCTGCAGTTTGCAACCACGGCACATTCAGTGGATCTCCATCAATGAGCCCGACGTCGATTGCAACCGTTTTCAGTCTGTTTAGTTTTGCACCGGCGGCTCGTTCAAAATCGTCAAAGAGTCCATTGATGCGTTCAATCACATTTATATTGGTGACTATCACAGATACATCATCTGCATACGCCACCACTAGGTCAGTACCGAGTTGTCGCTCTAGCTGTTGCAGGAACGGATGAAGATAAATGACAAAAAGTAACATCGACAACGGGTCTCCCTGTCGGACCGACCGTTCGATGGGGAAACGCTGCGAAAGATGTCCATTAACTAGCAAACGAGAAAAGGATTGATCGGCAATTCGTGCAAGTAAACTGACGAAGGTTGTGTTTATTCCCAGCTGCCGCATTGTTTCGTGAAGGAAAGAAAGGGATACCCGATCGAAAGCATGGTCGAGATCGTAGCTAATCAGCTTCCTTTTTTGCTTCCTCGCTATCAGTTGAGCAATTCGATCTTTCAGAGAAAGAGTGGCTTCGAAAATTGAATGCCCATCGTTGGAACATTTTTGTGCACCACTCAGCACGCGGTGAGTCCTCATCACGAGCTCGAGACGTGCTTTCAGAATCCTACTGAGAATTTTAAAGTCCGCATTCAGAAGACTGATCGGGCGGTATCCTCGAGCGGTGTTTGCCGTTCCTCTCTTTCGCACTAACACAATTACTCCGTTGGCGAACTCAGGGGGTAGCTCATTTGTCAGAGCCTCATTCAATACGAGGTTCAGTTCTCGGTGGATGACATCGAATGTACGTTGGTAAAATTCGACGGGTAACCCGTCGCTTCCCGCAGCCTTCCTTTTAGCCGATGTACGAATAGACGACAAAATCTCGGATGTTGTAATTTCTGCCACGCAAGCTTCGTTGCACTCGTCATTTTCGGGTACCACTCTCTCGCATTGGAAAGGGTGCCGTGCTCCATCATTTTCTTCTGTCGCTGTGTATAATTCCTTGAAGTAACGAAACAGATGGTTTTCGATTGCTTCG